CCCAGCTACGAGACAGACATTTGAAATGGTGCTATTTTGTACTTTCCAGGAATATATTTCTGTGCATCGTTGGGCAAACCCATAAGGTGTGATTTTCGGCTGTATTTCTTTTCTGAAGTGTTCGGCTGACAATATAAATTAAATCATCACAACAAAGTCAACCAAAAGCCACTCTCGATTTTTCCAGTCTTTCAATCTTTTGATATTAAGAAAACATTTTGTCACGTAAGATGAAGAGCAACTCATTCTTCCACAGATAGATATTGATTACTATATTTAAACAGGCATCATAAAATGTACCACACAAAACGATCCCCCCGCCCCGTGTCTCCAACGCTCTGGATTGTTATTCTTTCACACTTTTTTTAAAAAAGGGTAGACTTTAAGAAATACAATAGAGATTACCTCTTCTCAGCCTGGTTATTAAAACAGAAAAGTGTGTGACGTGCAACGAAGAGAAACCAGAGGCAGAAACATCGTAATTATGAAACGAGAAAATTCTTTACCCAAAATCAGCAAAACTCAAACAAGCTGCTCCATTCAAACAATCTCACAGCAGTTTATATTTTTAATATAAAATTATATATTTTTTGCCCTGAAAGCAAAGGAGGAGTCCTTAAGAGGGATGGCTCTCTTTCAACTCGTGGATGGACAGGCATAGAGTTCAACCAACCCTAAAACATGTACGGTGTTGCCCCTGCATTAAACAGGGAGTCAATTTCAGTTGCAACTTAATTGGCTTGAAAACACAAACAAGGAGATCCTGTTTGATCAGAGAAGGATGTCAGACTCCTGGCAAAAGACGGTGTCCGAGATGAACACAAATACCATCACGTCAAGGAACAGTGAACTCCTGACAGAGACGAATGGGATTAAGCTAAGTAGAAAGACAGCAGGCAAGCTGAATATGGGGGTTGGGGGTGAAAAAAAGAGAAGAAACAAGACTGAATTCTGAAGTGATTGCCATTTCTGTTCTTTGATGGCCACGTTTCAACCAATTATATATCTTTGACGACCGCCTGAAACGTGAACCTCTGCAGGAGAAATCACACAGCCTCCTTCAGAAGTGGCTCATTATTATCGTCTCCCCCAGTAAATTAAAACTGATGTGACTGAATCATGATGAGTTTCTGAATTATCAGAAGACAGCGATGGGACTGTTCTTATTGGACAGGGTGCCCCTTTTTACATTTATAGATTTGTTTTCAAAATATCCAGGGCCACTGCCAATGTGATATTTCTCTCTTTGCAATAATCTCTAGTGGCAATGCACACCCCTGGATTTCTCCCATTAGCTGGTACGTTCAGCCTGTCCTGGTTATATTTTGTAGACTGTGCAGACAAAGGAAACCGGAGTCACAACTGGGCGTCACAACTGGATGGACACGGACACTAGCGATGCAAAGGGTAATTGCAAGATTTCTTCTTCTTGAGAGCTTTCGTGCTGTTCTCTTTGCCAAGATTCTCCCATAAGCCAGCAAGAATTTTTGGCTTCCTCCAACTTTTTTTTTTTGGCAGTACATTGTCAAATTCTGGGCAGCTCAATGTTTGTTCCAAAGAACTTTACATAGGACGCCATTTCATTCGGGAATTGTAACGAATTTGCACAGATCCATGTTTCTTCTGAGAAAGGAAACGGCGACCCAAAATTCCAAGAAATCCCCATGAGATTTCCCGCAAGATTTATCAGAGAAAAACACACCTTGAACAGATTAACCTTTCATCAAGGAGAAAAGAGACATGCACCCCTTCTCAGTTTCTTGCAAACAGAGATAGAGATGTTGCAAGATTCATACTCCAAATGTACACTATAGAGCTCAATGGACGTAGACCAGAGGTTCCCAACCTTGGGTCCCCGGGTGTCCTTGAACTAAAACTCCCAGAAGCCTTTTCACCACTTCCAGTGCTGGCCAGGATTTCTGGGAGTTGTAGTCCGAGAACCCCCAAGGCTTGGAACTACTGGTGTAGACAGAGCAGCTCTAATCTCTCCACCAGAAAAACACAACATAAATATGCTTCTCTTCTAAATATCAAGCCTCATATATGTTAGTGTTCATCTAACGCATTTCCCAAAGCACAGAGGATGGCATTTTGAAGAGGAACGTTACCTAACCAGACAGGCCAAATCTTCAACCACTCTGCCATGCCTTTTGTAAAATATTGCCATGGCACTTGCCAGCCAAGATAGATGCTATATTATTCGATTCCAGCTGCTAGGAAAGCTCTATGTATTTCCACGTATACATTTCATCCTTATTTATACTATACATGCTAAGCTTTTGCCAATAGGTTGTAGCTGCTGTGTATAATGTACAGTGGGCCCTCAATTTACAGATGGCTCCACTTACAGACTTTTCAAGTTACAGACTTCTCTGGCTGCAAAATTTAGGTTCAGCTTGCAGCCGGAGAATCAACCTACATACCGGGGGAAAAAAAAACCCAAAATGGAACAAAAACGGCCGGTTATGGATTAATTGGTTTTCAATGCACTGTAGGTCAATGGAGCCTCGACATACAGACTTTTCGACCTGCAGCCACTGTTCCAATATGGATTAATTCCGTAAATTGAGGGTCTACTGAATTTCGCCTCTATGTTAGCTTGACCAATCCGTTCTCTTTTCTCCAGCACTCTTAAGAGCAACGGACGACCACAGAAAATATAAATTCCTTTTTTAAAAAAAATCAGATTGGAACGCAAATGTTCAAAAGGCATTTCTGCAAGCTGATATTCTTTAATCTCAGATATCCTTAATGAATAGAAACAATGATGTTTAGCATCAAGGTACGTAGCTTTCAATGTAGTTTTGATGACCTGCTGGGATGTTTTCAGGAACCACATAAATGTGTCCTGTATCCTAACCCAAGCCTCCATCTCCTGGTATATTGTTTTAATTCTTTAGGATTTTATTTTCTCAACGTTTAACTCAAAAAGTCCTTTTCTACCTGCTAGGAGGTATGGGGGCAATGTTGCTGCATTCTGGCTGCCCAAGAATATTTTACAAGACATACATTGGGACCACAAACAGTGTCATGTAGTAGTAGATAGAGGGGTGGGCTAGGACTCAGGTGACCTGAGTTCAAATCCCTCCTCAAGCCATGGAAACTCAGAGGGGTGCGTGGAACTGGCAGAATTACTCTTTATGTCACTCCTCTGGAAAGGTCTATTAGGGTCACTAGAAGGAGGTTCCAACTTAGCAGCACATGTTGTAGAGGATGCAAAAAGACTGCAAAGCAACCAGCCTGACCACATCTGGAATGGAGTTCTGCAATGCAGCAACTGTTGCTATGAAGAAAGGTCTGTCTCTATTTACACAAACATCTGGTCACTGGAGGAACCATGCGTGATGTCAACCGGGACTCACATGTGGCCAATAATGGGACGGCCGCATGGGGGAATGGCTTCCACGGCCCTCCAGGAATGTGAGAAAGGACCCAAACAAGCAGATAGTCCCACAGTTCTTCCCCGCACACAACATCACACATGGTTTCACTTGACCTTTCCCCCAACCCTAAAGCGAGCCACATCTGGGTCATTCAAAACGAGGGGAAGGCACCTTCCACAACATGGAGGAGAAAGTTTTGTGTTTGTTAGAACCACTGGAGATAGACACACAGATGCTAGTAGGATGGCATTAATCGGGTGGCCAAGGGTTTGAGCAAGGAGCAGAAAATATGGCAATTCTGGGTCCTCCACAGATTCCCCAAAGGGCAAGCCCTCCTCTCAAACTGGAAGTGCCGGGAGGTCAACCACTGGTTCTGACACATGGGCATCTGGGAATGTTCAACAGTGCTGGTGAAGAACCTGAGGCCTTCCTGAAAGGAGAACGACTTTTCCTGAAGACTTCTATGTGGAGAAGAGAATGGTGAGACAGCTCAGTGAGTTAGAACTCCAGCTGTGGGACCCAAGGTTGGGAGTTCGATTCCCCACCATGCCTCCTTGACAAGGAGATGGACTCAATGATCCGCAGGGTCTTTTCCAGCTATGCAGTTCTAAGATTATTTATTTATTAATTTTTAAAAGGAAAACAGGAAAAAGAAGAGAGGGCCACAACAAAGTTATATGAGGGTTGCATCTCTTTCCAGGACTGTCCTTGGCCCACTTCTGGAACAGAGGAATTAAAATGCTTCCTCCATCATCATCATCATCATCACCACCACCATCACCACCACCTACAGAGTAAATCAATATTCCTCCTTTGATATGCCAGGGTTTTCTCAAGAAAAGAATAAATGTTTACTGTATTTGTCGGCGTACAAGATGACTTTTTTGGCCCCCAAAACATGCCTCCAAGTGGGGGGGGTCATCTTGTATGCCGGGTGCATTTCATTTGGGCCAGGAAGGAGGTGCTGTCGCTGCCGCCGTCACTGAGTGACGCGGGGCCGCGCCGGCCGGAGAGGAAGGCAGGCGGGCAGGCAGACGGTCAGTCTGGAGGGAGGGAGGGAAGCAAAGCCGGCCATGCCTGAGTGGCCAGAGCCCGCTGCCCCGCGCCGTTGAGCCCGCTCGACTGTGCGCCGCTGGAGAGCTGCTTTGTCCCATCCTCCTCCTCCGCCACCCGCTTCCCTTCCCTTCTTGTCCTTGCATCTGAGCCAGCTCGCCCGCCCACTGCTGGAGAGCTGTTTTTCCTTCCTCTCCGCCACCACCACCCGCTTCCCTTCCCTTCTCGCCCCCAAAACATGCCTCCAAGTGGGGGGGGGTCGTCTAATACGCCCAGTCGCCTTGTATGGCGGCAAATATGGTAAATGTGTCATTATCCTTACCAGTAAAACTTATTTTGGATCATGGGTTGCCCAATTTTGGATCATGGGTTGCCTAAAATTTTGGACCAATTTTGGATCATGGGTTGCCCAAAACTAAGCGGAATAATGGGGTGCAGTGAGGCCAAGATCATGTTAAGGGGATTCCAGGAGTGGTGACCCCATTCTGTAGTCTAGCAATGAGTGAACTCAGAACAGAACTCACGGCATCTGCCTTTCCAAAAGGACAAGAACTCCATCCCTACCTTTTTCACGGTCTTGTCCGGTTCAAGAGCAATGTCCGGAATGTTGGCGTCCACCATGAGGGAGAACAAGTTCAAAATCAAGTTGGAATACCTACAGAAAGGAAGAGGCGATGGGGGGGGGAAAACAACAGGAGACAATATTGGAAAATTATTTTCGTGACAGAAGAGAGGGAACAGGAGACAGAGCGGCTGGGTAAATAAACCCCTTGGAGCCTTCCAAATGAACCTGCAGCAACATTCTTGTCTTCACGCAGGGAAACGAGCAGCCCTAACTTGCACAAAATAGGCAAGCTTTTGAGCACCACAGAATTCTTCACCAGGCTAGATGATAAAAATGTGCGAAGGGGAGGAAACCAATGGACTCCTACCTTCCACGCTTCACTGTCCCCTCTCCTCGGCTTTATTTGTTTTTTACCGTCTAGCTTGACAAACAGTTCTGCAGAGGTCAAAACATTGCACCCTTTGCACATTTACAGTTGGTCTTCATGAAGGTATTTCTTCACTGGTGGGTTGGGCAGTTTGGATTTTGTCCTGCCCCAATGGATCGATGTGGACATATCAGGTTTTTGGACTCGAGAGGAAAACAAGTGACTTCACTGGTGCAATGTTCTTCTAATTATTGTGTAAATATTATTTTTAAAGGGCCCTTTTAGGCCAATTTTGGATAGAAATTATTCACCCTTCATGCCACTTTCTTGTCATCCCTCAAGTCTGTAAAAGTGAGGAACCCTACCAGCTGTTTTCATCAATTAGTCATGACAACAAATTACTTCTCAAACACGGTAAAGAAATGATCATAATTCTTTAAAAATATCTTTCAAAAAGTATGTTTCTAAGCTCTAGATCTTCCACTATTCAAAATAACGAGCAGAGGACTTGAGGAGTTTTTCTCCCATTGGAATAATTTGCATGTGCAGAAGGATGAAGGTGAAGACAGATATCTCTAGTACATGCTCACATCAATCAATCAATCAATCAATCAATCAATCAATCAATCAATCAATCAATCAATCAATCAATCACAGAATCATTAAGTTGGAAGGGGCCTATAAGGCCATCAAGTCCAACCCCCTGCTCACGGCAGGGATCACAATCAAAGTAGACTGAAAGATGGTTGCCCTATTTACTCCCGAATGCCTCCAGAGCTGGAGAGCTTACCTCCTCCTGAGGATATTGCTTCCACTGTCGTACTAATCTAATAGTTAAAAAGTTTTTTCCCCCCACCTATCAACCTAAATCTGGCTTCCTGTATTATGAGCCCATTCTTACATGTCCTGCACTCAGGGATGATCAAGAACAGATCCTGCCTCTCTTCTGTAGAACCACCTTTCGAGTCTTTGAAAAGTGCTATCACCTTTCTTCCTCACTCTTCTTTTCTCGAGGCTAAACGTGCCCAGTTCTTTCAGTCTTTCCTCAGAGGGCTTGGTTTAGCCGCCCCGAGTAGACCTGGTCTAGAATGGCAGGGTATAAATCTAATTAAAGTAAAGTAAAGTTACCAGCCCCTGGATCCTCCTTCTTGCTCTTTTCTGAACTTGCTCCAGTGTGCTGGCATTCTTCTTAAAATGTGGTGTCCAGAACTGGACACAAGACTCCAGATGAGGCCTAACCAGTGCTGAATAGAGAACTATTACTGACGCCTTGCAAATGTAGGCAGAAATCTGCACCTGAGTTACTACAGATCAGTTTCTAAAACACAGTGTTCTAATACGGGGCAACCAGGACAAAGGCAAAGAATTCTTATTCTTATTTCACATCATAGAATCGTCATAGGGTTGGAAGGGACCTTGGAGGTCTTCTAGTCCAACCCCCTGCCCAAGGCAGGAGATCTCATACTATCCTGAACCTCATACCATCCCAGACACATGGCTGTCCAATCTTTTCTTGAAAACCTCCAGCGATGGGGAAGCCACAACATCAGGAGGCAAGCTGTTCCACTGCTTAACGGTTCTCACCATCGGGAAATTCATCCTTATGTCCAGGTTGAAATCTCCCTCTGATGAGTTTCCACCCCTTGGTTCTTGTCCTGCCCTTAAGCACCATGGAGAATAAATCGATGCTCTCTTCCCTGTGGCAACCCTTCAGATCTTGGAAGACTGCGATCACGTCTCCCCTCAGTCTTCTCTTCGTTAAGCTAAACAGGCCTAGCTCTTTGAATTGTGGTGCTGGAGGAGGCTCTTGAGAGTCCCCTGGAATGCAAGGAGAACAAACCTATCCGTTCTGAAGGAAATCAACCCTGAGTGCTCACTGGAAGGACAGATTCTGAAGCTGAGGCTCCAATACTTTGGCCATCTCATGAGAAGAGAAGACTCCTTGGAAAAGACTTTGATGTTGGGAAAGTGTGAAGGCAGGAGGAGAAGGGGACGACAGAGGACGAGATGGTTGGACAGTGTCATTGAAGCGCCCAACATGATTTTTGCCCCGACTCCGGGAAGCCGTGGAAGACAGGAGGGCCTGGCGTGCTCTGGTCCATGGGGTCACAAAGATTCGGACATGACTTAACAACTAAACAACAACAACAATAACTGAATATCAGCTGACCAACAAGTCATCTTGTGATTGCCCAGCTACATCCATTTTGCCACCAGGATTAGGTAAAGCCTCGACTCCTGGAGTGGTCCACCAGGGTTGACCTTATTTTCTCAAGGTTTTCAAGTGTTCACTTACATGAACATGACTACCTTAAACTGTTGCACTTCTTGCCTCTCCAGCGTATGCCAGCACGGCCAACAGTGAGGGAGGCTAGGAGCTATGGTCCAGCAACATCTTGCCAGGGAGAGGGGGCACCCTCTGCCCACTCCTAGCTTATCCAACAGCCCTCAGAAAAGCTAAGAAAACACAGCTTTCAGTATGAATAGCATTTAAGCTGCATATGTTAAGAAGCATTTATCATTCTTTTGTATTGGACACAAAGGTAATCCAGAAAGCATGGAGCTTTATCATGGTGGGGGGGACTTTTTCCCCAGCCTTGCTAAGGGTGGTGGCCAGTGCTTCTAAACCAAAATGCAGTTAATTAGCTCATGGAGAAAAGAGAGCATCACTGTTAAACACTTGACAGTTTCCTGTGACGGGGAAAGAAAAAAATATCATCTCCCCTAAAGACAGAAGATAAAACAGACAGACAAAAAAGGGAGGGGGATGAATAAGAAAAAAGAATAGCTCTTTGAATAAATTCCTTCTTTTCTTTATTTCTAACCATCCATCACCCCCTGCCACTGCTTTCTGTACCTTGCTCATATATTTAAACAACCATTCAAAATTACTCGAGAGACACTACAAAATGCATGCTGGATTTTAAATTAGATAATCTTTTTTTTTGTTCCTGAATCTTCTCAAATGCTTTGAGCACCAATTTTTTTAAAAAAAAAAGCCAAGGAGGGGCAGGGTTCACCTTTTCAGCAAACTCCTTCCATCTCCTCCCCACCCTTAAAACAAAATCAGCAGGTGTGAATTTTCAAGTGCGTTCCTTTCCTACTATTACGTTTCATATTCCTCACTTGCATGCATTTTATTCCACATAAATCATAAATATCCAATCAAGATGTCTAGGCATTTACATTCCGTCTGCCGAGAGACAAGGGCTACATTTCTAACATGATATCGCACATTAGCGGGAGTGTTTCAAAGGCGTTCGTGTTGTAAATGTAAGATCCGAAAAGTTCTTCACCTTTTAATCTCAGCCCTCCTTTTCCACAACTTTCAAGGACCTGAATGAAGGAGGATGGAATTTTTCCAACACTCGCCGATGGATCGTAAGAATTGCCAATTCAAAACTGGCTCTGCTATTGCATCTCATATTGGTCCATGTTCCATTAAGCCACAAAGGCTGACGTCTCAACAAAGATGCTCCATTGCCAGAAACTGTGATGGACCAACTTGTGGTCACTAACAACGTATCCTCCATGCATTCATGCCTGTCTTCTCCTTGGACTTCTCTGGCCTTAATCCAGATGTGGAGGATGCAGTGGCTGTGACCAGCAAATAGTATCAGAGATCCAGAGGTGTCTCTGTGATGACATGAGTTTTAGCAAATCACTTTCATTTTAAAGATACAGTAATGCCTCGCTTAACGATTGCCCCGCATTACGATGAATCTGCTTTACGACGATCTTTTTGCAATCACAATTGCGATTGCAAAATGATAGTCTAAATTGGGGAATTTCGCTTAGCGATGATCGGTTCCCTGCTTCGGGAACTGATTTTCGCTTTACAATGATCAAAAACGGCTGATCGCTGGGTTTTCAAAATGGCCGCCGGGTGCTTAAAATGGCTCCCCGCTGTGTTTAGCGACGGATTCCTCGCTATACAGACAGCAAAAATGGCTGCCGTATGGAGGATCTTTGCTGGATGGTGAGTTTTTACCCCATTGGAACACACTGAACGGGTTTTAATGTGTTTCAATGGGGTTTTTAATTTCGCTTTATGATGTTTTTGCTTAACGGCGATTTTCCTGGAACGGTTTATCGTCGTTAAGCAAGGCACCACTGTAGTGCCAGTGATTTCGTTATATAGCTACAGAGCTAGAGTTTGGGAGTTCAATTCCCCACTGTGCCTCTCAAGGGTAGAGCCAACCTGTGTGGCCTTGGGCCAGCTGCACAGTCCCAGTGTGTCCCCAGAAGAAGGGAATCATCAATGACTTCTGAGTATTCTCTACCTGGAAAACACTGAAAAGGGTCACCGTACGTCAAAATTAATTGGACGGGACATGATGATGAGCCTGTCCTTTCAACATAAGTGACAAACACGTCCTCCATTTAAAGTACTGCTGCTAAGGATTTTTTTTTTAAAAAATGTAACCCGTGGAACTTGGCCAATGCTCAATGGAAAGAAATAAACCCCAACACGGGGAAGACAACGAGAAAAGAAATCTCCGTGCGGTGCGAGATACACACAGCCACACAGGCTACGTTCCACATAACAAAGTATATATAATTGATTCTCTGAATGTCACCTGCACAAGTTAATCCCTTTGTAATGATTCTCTGGAGAGAATGGGAGTTACTGCAATCTCCGATTAATAACTCAACTTTGTTTCCACGTTCCGCGGAATTGCTAATGCATTATCAATGACAGTTTATAAAAGACAGTTCTTTCTTCTTCCCCACTTCGTATTTCAAAGAGGCAGAGGATCTTGTCCACTTTCCCCAGATAAGCCTTCCCCATTCTCCCTGCCTTCAAAGATCACCATCTGCTTGGTACGTGTTCCTTTATAGACACTGGACTCTATTCGTACAAGACAGAGAGCTTCTAGAGTTCACCATTAGCAAAGCGACAGCTGCCACTGGGGCACTCAGCCTGAGAACTATTTTATTCCACCTTGGACTTCCCGTGGTGAGCCTAGGTTCTAACCTTGGTTGGTTCAACAGCAGGTATTTGTTCAGTTGGACTTGCTGTCGGGTTGCTGTGCCATCCAGGTGAAGGAAGGAAAAACATAAAAATACCTAGAGATGGGCACGAATTTCGGTTCAAAGGTTCATGCTGGCAGGTACGCATGATGCCACAGGTAGTGCAGATTCCCCTTCCCCCACCTCCCCAGCTGGATCTCACACTGACCAGCTGGCACATGCTCCTCTCCTCCTCCTCAGCTGTTCGACCAGTCTCCGGCAGGAGCATGGGACTTCCCTGCCCCGCCTCCTCAGCTGATAGCCCATTCAGAGAAGGCTTCCCTGCCCCGCCTCCTCAGCTGATCGCCCACTCAGGACAGGCAACCCTGTGCTCCTGCCTGGGACTGGTTGAATTGCTGAAGAAGAGGAGGAGAGGAGTGTAATCCAAATGATGAGTTGGTCTTTGGCCAGGGAGGTAGGGGAAGGGAACCTGTGTTGCTGTACTTACGAACCAGCACAAATCTCCAAACTGAGCTTTATGCCCATCTCTACAGTGGACCCTCGACATACAGACGGCTCCACTTACAGACTTTTTGAGTTATAGACTTCTCTGGCTGCAAAATTTAGGTTTGACTTGCAGCCGGAGAATCGACCTACAGACCGGAAAAAAAACCAAAATGGAACACAAATGGCCGGTTACGGGATTAATCGGTTTTCAATGCATTGTAGGTCAATGGAGCCTCGACCTACAGACTTTTCGACCTGCAGCCACCTTTTCCAATACAGATTAATTCCGTAAGTCAAGGGTCCACTGTACCTAGGAGCCTCGTGGCATAGTGGTCACACTGCAGTACTGCAGTCAAGACTCTGTTCATGACCTGAGTTTGTTCCTAACAACTCCGTGTTGAGTCAGCCTTCCATCCTTCTGAGGTCGGTAAAACCCAAGCTTAATTTGGGGGGGGGGCTGAGCATGTGCAGACTGCCTGATTAAATTGTAAATCACCCAGGGAATGCTTTAAGGGCTATGGGGTGGTATATAAGCAGCACACTTTGCTTTATCCCATCCTGACCCACTCAGCTACCCCTGATCCCCATGAGATCCTCCACAGAATACAGTTCATTTTTCATCTATAAGCATGTACAGAGATTTACAGCAATGGTCTTCAACAGGGTAGACCTGACTGATTTCAATGAGATCGATTTAAATCACCATTTATTCATTTTTATTTTGGATTTGTTTATGAGTTAAATATTAAAAATGGATTTTTTTAAAAAAATAAACTGTGATTTAAATCAATTTGATTTTTTTTTAAAAAAAGAAACATTGATTTTTACCCTCCCTAGTCTTTAATACATTCTCTGGGCAATGCATTCAGAGGAGTCTCAAATTCCAAGCTGAATCGGCCTGAATCGGAGCGATACAAACCTAATGAACTGGATGGCTGGGGCAGGCAGAGTGTTCTAAAACAAAAAATAAATAAATAAAGGTCTGCAGGCGTGTGTTTCTTGGACTATGACTCCCAGGATTCCCCAGGCAGCCCTGACTAAGAGCAATGTCTCAGCTCTCAGAAGAATCTGACTACCAGCAACAGCCGACCCAAACAACACAGAAGGACAAGATCCAACCAGTAAGATAATACGCTGCCCAAATCGAACCGTGCCCATGAAGGCCCTTTTCCACCAGAAAGATGGAGCCCCCCCTCTCTCTTCGAAGATTTGCTGTTTAGTCCAGCACATCAAGTGGAAAAAAAACGGTGCAGGATGTGACCTACCTGCGGAGGTGAAGGAAAGCGGTGTAGCACTGCTTGCGAAACTCTTGGTACTGCTCGCTCTGCGTCCCTCCCATGCCTTCCACCATCTCTTTATTCAGCTTCATCGGGGGAGGAAGAGGCTTCGGATCGCGGCCCAGAATGTAGCCGAAATCAATGTGGAAAAGCTTGCCTGCAAGGAAAGGAGAAGAGGAGGACGGGGGAAGAGACCTCTCAGAGAGTTATAGCCAAGAGTGTGAACAGGGTTTGTTGGCTTCCTCTGTATGCCATACATAGCGGGCAAAGCGGGAGCAAAAAAAAAAAAAAAGGTCCCCTAAGCTGCATCAAAACATGGCCAGGGAACCCAACCCTGCAGAGGAAGGAACAATGGCCTGCAAGATAATCTGTGCTACAGCTATAGGGCACAGAGGCCCCTCAGGGGACTCCCCAGGAACAGAAGTGGCCTTCTATGGACGCAAGACCATAGGTCCATCATGTAGTCCGACTGCAGTGGGGCCATCTCTTCTGGCTTCCACACAGAAGTCTCCCTGGCCCTACTCGGAGGTCCTAACATTCCCTTGTAGTCTCCCACCCAGACAGGACCCAGGTTTGGGCCTCCTTAATGGCTGAAAGCAGACAAGACAGGGCACGTTCAGGGTGGTATGACGACCCATCAGAGCAACCACAGAGCTAACAATGACGGGTTGATATTAATCGGGACCTCCGTGGCTATAAAGAGGAAACCAATAGATTGTTCTTGGGACTGGAGACACAACGCTAACAGCAATGTGTATTAATGAGAGAGATTTTGCAAGAGAGAAAGGCAGACGATAAATTAGATATTTATTTATTTATATTAGATTTATCTATCACCCATCTAGAACGGGACTAGATTCTTATTATTCTAAATAATAAGAATCTTAGAACTGCAGAGCTGGAAGGGACCCTATAGATTAGCGAGTCCATGAGGCTCAGTGGGGAATTGAATTCTCAAACTCCGCCTCCACAGCCAGAGGCCTAAACCACCGAGGTATACCAATAAAAACGTTGTTTTTAATTCCCTGTTTGACAGCCAGTGTCAGATTAGAAGCCAGGAGACCTGGGTTCAAATCGCTGCTCAGTCTCCTCTTCTCTTGAAGGCCTCCAGCACTGGAGCGCTCACCACCTTCCAAAGTCATGGGGGTTCCATTGTTGTACTGCTCTAACAGTTAAGACATTTTTTTTCCTGATCTTCAGCCTAAATTTGGCTCCCTGTCACTGGAGCCCATTGTTGGGTGTCCTGCACTCTGGGATGATCGAGGACAGATCCCAACCCTCTTCTGTAGGACTGCCTTTCGAGTATTCAAGAAGTGATGTCAGACCTCCTCTCGGTCTCCTTTTCTCAAGGCTAAACATGCCCAGTTCCTTCCGTCTTTCTTTACAAGGCTTGGCTTCCAGTTCCTTAATCATCCTCATTGCCTTTCTCAGGTAGCATGTGATAAGGCAGGCCTCTGCTTCAAACACCACCCAGCCAGAGTTGATGATATGGGGCTAGACGGAGACATGATCTGGTTTGGTTATATGGGTGCTACCTACATAATAACAGAATGATGCTGTGGAAACGTGAAACGAAGTGCAATGAACACATGCGTCAACTGTTCTCAGTTCCCTGTTCTTGGGGGTCTGGGAGGTCCTTTGCCCAAACTAGAGGAGCACCTTGTATGCAGAGGTTTTGTATAAGTATGAGACAACGTCGGAATGGATGTTGATCTTTGGTGGTCTTTTATTCTGGAGGATAAGGTCTAAGCAGGCAGACTGTTACTGGGAAAATGAACGGAGGTCTCAGGAACTCAAGCGACTGAATTCACTCAAGCATGGTTATGAAAGCTTCTTGGAATGAAAATTCCCATGTCCTGTCATTTTGATAAAGAAACGCTTACGGAGACACTCCGGGCTTTCATTCCCCTCTGCCAGTCCTCTCTGTTTTCCACCCTCTCACTCCGTTGTATTCCTGCACTCCTTTATTTTAAGGCTATTTTCAGGCATTGTCATGTCTGTTGACTCTGACAAATTCGAAATAAGAAATGCACCGAAGAGCAGCCGTCTTTGGGAGGAAACAGTTGATTAAACTGACAGGGACAAATAGCTAAGAGGCATTTCGGCTGGCCCTCCTTAACCCCTTTCTCTACAAATATGCATTGGGGACAACCGTTAAGGAAAAAAGGGGGGACTCAAGAAGACTTTCATTACGGGAAGGTTGCAGTCCCTGAAGACTGGAAGCTCTGAAATATGGAACGTTGATTGTTTGAAACTCATAATCCTGTAGGGATGTTCCCTTCACTGGGCTGTGATATTTCTCTTGGTGTGATGACTGGATGAATGTTTCAAAAGGGGGCAATTGAGACTACATCCCCTATAATATCATCTGGAGTAGGACTGAGTAAATGTTCAAGCTCTACACTGCATTGTTATTATCATCTTATAAATATATCTTAACATTTGTTTGCTCGTTTGCTGGCTGCTTCTTCTGTTTGTCCTGAAACATCTCCGGAAGGGGAAAAACTAAGAACACAAAATTTAGCACAGATGCCACTGACTGCCTGTGTTTTCTTGCTTTGTTTATTTGCTCGGAAAATCTCTGAAACAGAGGCTCCAATCTACTGATGTTTATGTAAGATTGGTGTTAACGGCCCACAGCTAATTGACAAGGTGCAAGAATGCACCCAGGCTTGGCCATGAAATCAAGGGCATGGGAGTTTCAGAAATCATGGAGTTCAGAAGTCTGTAGAAATTCTCCTAGTTTGGCTTCGGCCGAAACAACAACATCAAAAAGTCATTTCAGGTGTCTGCAATCCGTTTCAATTGAGAAATAATGGTTTCTCTCTGTTTTCATGAAGCTGGAGGAAGTAACGGGGCAAGGCTTAGCTCTGTGGGAACTGCAAGGCATTATGGGCCTGGGAGTCTCCCTGTCTGTTATGCTCCATAAAAGCAAAAAGAAAAGTGTGCTGTTTATACAGGATATTGTCTCATGATGCCTAAAACACTCTCTGGGCAGTTTACAATTTAATCTGGCAATTGACACATTGCCCCCCAACCCCAGTGAGCTGGGTACTCAATTTACTGACCTCAGGAATATGAGAAGCTGAGTCCATCAGGACTGAACTCATGAGTAGAGTTTTGACTGCAGTACTGCAGTTTAGCCAATGTGCCATGAGGATTCTTAAACTGACAAGGTCAAATAGCTAAGAAGCTTGAGAGCCTGGAAATGAGAATATAAATCAATGTCCTGTTTTGGTTTTTTAACATGGTAGCATGCTGATCTGAGTGAGTTCTGTACAGCTAAAAAGACCAGCATGGGAGAAACATCGACAGTGCCTCTCAGATAACTACCAGGCCCATAATGCCTTGGATCTCCTAGAGAGCTTAATCTGCCAAGCTACTTCCTCCATTTTCATCATGGCAGAGAGAAGTTTTTTTGTATCTGCTGGAAATGATGACAGATACCTGAAAGAATATGGTGTGGGTTTGTTTGTGTGTGTGTGTGTTTTTTTTTTTTTGCTAAAAAACTGTGACAGTATGGCTGGGAGAATTCCTGCAGACTTCCAGGGAGTGACATAGTCCATGAATTCTGAAACTCCTATGTTTAACCAAGACACAACCCAACACCTTGCCAATCAGCTGTGGCAAGTTAAGCACACCTTACATGAACATCAATAAGATTCTGCCCAATAAGAGCTAGAAACCCATTTTTGACACAAACATCCCAATGCCCTCTCTCATTTCTTCCCCATCCTGAATATTTCTCCCATGCTGGCTTTTTCGCGCTACTACTTTGATACTCTCTCATACCAGTGTTCAACTGTGTTTAAAAAAACAAAACAGAACCACTATTTTTAACTACACTCCTAGGCCCTCTTTCTTCACCCTCTTTCTCATGTTCTGTTCCCTTCTGCCTCACGGTACCCCACATTCAACTTCTGCCATCATGGCAAAAAAGTCCAGCAAACGTCTATGATTAAGGGGGACTCAAATCTAATCTTTAATGGGCCCGGTTGAAGCTTGAAGGGGCAGATTTCGAGAGATACCCTGTCCAGTTGTTTAAATCAGGAATTCTGTATCGTGGAATCTTTGTGTTTTTAACTCGGGCAGAAAGCCAAGTATGTCCACTAGCTATTACAATTTTTATAAACCCAAGGCCCACTGTTAAGATCCAGGGTGGATCTTAATGGTGGACCTTGGGTTTATAGCAATAGTAATAACTAGTGAACGTACCTGGCCTCTTGCCTGAGGGGAGACAGAGGAGAAAAGGCACATTTTAAATTGTTCAGAAGGACAGAAAGCATTATTATAAGAACATCAGAGTTCTTTTAATAACCTAGAATATACCGGAAAGGAAGGCCGGTGTCCATGTTAGATGAGTGACTGCTGCAGTTATAACCCAACAAGAATGATTTTCTTCATCTCTGGTTGTTCACAGGAGAGGCCCATCTATATCCTCCATGCCATGACCCACAGATTAAGATGGCATGCATGCATAAGCTCAACTCTATCCCAAATTTATTGTCAATCAGGATTCGCTAATTTATTTGTGGAGGGGATAACCACAGCCCTTTTGCGGCTGTGGTTATCAGGAAGCCAGTCTGATCTATTGCAAACTGTTCTGGTCCATTTTCTGCTCCTCCATGGTGTTAGAAAGCAGGCTTATAAGTCTCCTGGGTATAGGGCAAAACTCTGTGACAAGGGCTCACCAGTGAACTCTCTAGCCCATTGCTGCTAGTGCAACTTTCTCTCCTCTTCCAGATTCCCAGACGTGACTCTTTCCACCACTGTAACTGCTTTGGAGAGGTGTGCTGAATGGCATTTCAGAATGTGACAGAAGCCGCCGCTATACAGATGGAGACTTCTCTTTGTGAAGAAGGTGTCAGGGATATCCCGGTTCCTGCTGGTGGGCCATTTGGCCAACACCTATGAAGAGTTTCCTCATTTCTAATTCAAAGGTGGACGTAAGGGGAGCAACGTCAGAGCCCAAAGAGAAAAGAACAATGAGAAACAGAGAGGACAGGGAAAGATCTAGAAAAAGGAGGAGTCTTCAAACAGGAGGGAGGAGAAGAGGGTGAAAGGAAGGAAGAGGAAGAGAAAAGACAGCAGAAGAGATCAACTGGAAGAACACAGAGGAGGAAACAGATTGGGAAGTCTATCAAGTTGAAGTGGAGG